CTGGCTCCAGATCTGTCACCCATTGAAAATATCTGGTCATGGGTCGCTGAGAGACTAGCCCGCCACCCCTCTCCAGCTAATAGGGTTGATGAAGTGTGGCATAGACTTGAAGCAACATGGAATGAGTTGCCCATTTCTGTCATCCAATCCCAGTTTGATTTTATGTCTAATGGGGGAAGGGCCCTTTTAACTACCAGGGTTGGCAGCTGTTTCTACTAATTTCGCACCCCTGTAAACCTTCAAAATGCTTACAAATTTAATCATTTTGTCTTCATGCCATATTGTTTACGTGCAATAAATATCTTTTTTGTATTTGCTTTACTTCATGGTGTTGCAATTTTAATGGCCAGCAGTGTATTTGAATTTGCCGCCTACGAAAGTTGCCGCTCGGGACAAGAACCTCGGCTTGCCCCCGCTAGATCCGGGACTTGTGAAAAGATAATATAATAAAGAGAAGATAAACATAGACTTGGAAGCAAAAGGGACTTGGGAGAAAAAGGAAAAAATTCAAATAATTTTATTTTCATTGTTCTTAAAAATATTCTCGAAAAGATAAGTAATTCGTCACAAATTTCCTATAAAACACATCCATTACGTGTTAAAACCATGAAGACGCTTTTCATTTCGTCACATTTTTCTGGAAACTGTAGATCTATAAATATTGCCTTTAGACCTTACGAGCTGCAAAGTCTAAAATTCGAAAGAAAAATCATCCCTACCAACTCTGTAAGAGAAAAAAAATCAGAGGATTTTTGAAAAACAATTTCGAAAAGAGAAGAGTAAATTGAATTTTCAAAAGAAAACTTATACACAATTAAATATTCTGAAACAATTATATGGGAAAAAATCTTAACGTGAAAATGTATTAAAAAAGGCAAATTAATTAATTTTTAAATAATTACAGTAGCATTTTTGTTTGTATCATTAATTTTAGCATATTTATCAATGTTATTATGTTTGTAAAAAAAATCATTAAAATTTCGAAAATGTCCGAATAAAAAATTTTATACGCAAACTGATTTTGAAATCGCCAAAATGTTGATAAGTTGGCAAATTTAGCGCTGTTTAATAAAAGAACCAAAAAAGGGAAAAGTTGTTTTTCATGTAACATTAATGAACTCTTCATTCGCAATTCTTAAATTCGAGTATTAAATATTTATGTTCAGAAGTAATATTAGGAGGGAATTCCAGCTTAAGCCATGAAATACATATTTATCAATGCATCGCCAAAAAGTATTCCTCCAAAATGTTAATTCACTCTCAATACGGGAGTCGAAAAAAAACTGACAGAAATATCAGATGAGTAAAATTAAGAATCTTTTGCCGGTTTGGGACGAAATTAAGAACTTTTAAGGACCAAAAATTACTTTCAAAAAACCTAAAGACTTTTTAAGTACTTTCAAGAACCGTACGAACCCTGATATATGAAATTTGTGCTAAGTAACAAAGGGCATTCATTGGGAAAGGAGGGAGGTGGAATTTATGATGACATCAGTGTTATGAGTACTCCACCTCGTGTGTAGGTATAGATAATGCATGTTGCGAAAATAGACCTTTGAAGTGTCCTGTTTGATTATGCCTGGATAATGATGGTGAGTATTTACATTATCTCCTCTGATATCATTATGCTTTTCAGAAATGAAAGTTATATATATATATATATATATTTAAAGAAAATAGAGCAAACACTTAGCACTTCAGAAAAGCAAACAAAATTTAACAGTTTTAACTTCTTTGCATAATATGCAATTATTATGCTGTGTTATATTTATTGGCAATCATTGACTTTGGATTTATTAAAAGCATAGACTTTCCTTTCTTATTTTTTCCTCTAACATCATTTAAATACCTCTCCCCCCCCCAAAAAAAAAGTATTATTTTTAGTCTTTTATTTAATTGTTACAGTTTAAAAGGATATAATTTGCAAAGTTTCAAGAATTTTAATGATTTTTCTCCTTCGTTATATTATGTGCCTTCTACTAAGGGAAAATAAATTCATTATGTTTCTCAGGTTTTTTTATGTTTTTACATAGTCCTGAACAGATTTTTTTCCATATTACAAAACATATAAAACTTATGGCTAAAAATATATAAAAATATACAAAAGCATGACATTAAAGGAAAAGCACGATCACTAATGCTAAGCAAAAACCATCACTAACAACTAGCTCCTTACCTACTGCAAAGACCATTTAAAATATTTTTACTAAAGATACAATGCGAAGAAAAAGATGCAAAGAAATCAAGAATATTCTGATATCTAGAATTCTCATAAAAATAATTTATAGAACGAAATTTGAATTGACAGTAATTTTAAAATGGAAAACAAAATCATATGAGTAAAAATTACAATGAACCTTCTCATAGCAATCATTTTATTAAGATCATCACCTTTGAAAGTGTTCACTATCCCTGAGATCATAAATACATATTAGCACTGATATTATCCCTTTTTATGACCACCACTTTTAGAGAAGATCAGAATTATGCGAATCATGGGTGATTGTCTTAGGTTCAAATTATTTATTTATTTCTCTAAACTAAATCTGTATACAATGAGAGGTTGATTTAAATCATTTAAAGTCGCTTTTAGAAATCACTCTGCTTATTAAGTCCTTTTTAACTAATTCCAAGAGTGACAAGTTATACAGATTTGAATATATTATTTAATACTATATCAAAAATTTGCTATAAATTAGGATTATACTTTTTTCATATTTTACAAGGTACAATAGAAAATATAGCTTCTTTCATATAAATTAGGATAAGTTTTCTTTTTTTTCATAGTTTACAAGGTACAACATATCTTCTTTTTATAGTTTTCAAGGCACAATACAATATAAAATATCACTTCTTTTTTTCCCACGATATTTTGCAACACGACGTTTTCGCCCGAACGTTTTTGTCCGCAATGTTTTTTACTGCAATGTTTTCGGCAGACACCCTTATTTTATGATGCGTACAGGATTATCATATATGGTTGAAATAGAAGAAATCTAATTCCCCATCCCTTCTGAAATATAATATCCTCCATTTAATTCAAATTTCTCTTAATCTTTTAACTTTTTCCATTTTTCTTGCTTCTCATGCACTATTTCCTGTAGCTATTCAAAATGTATGAACTTTATTTTTCTATTTATGTTCATAATGCTTATGCAAGAAAGTTATTTTTTCTGATATATGCTCAGTGAATCAAGAGAAAAAACATACTTAATATGTAGTCATATCCAGTACATCTAAAATACTACACTGCCCTCCAAACGTTAAAGAACAAAATGTTTCTGTTGTCTAATTTCAGATTGAAGCAACACAGAAACAAGAAATTTAGCAGACATGTTCATTAAACAGTTCTTTAATGAATGTGACATAGAATGCTTCTTAAGACCAACACAAACATGAATTACACCAAATATGTGCACTCCTGGCAGAGAAATCTAGTCTTGGAGAAACAGCATATCACAGTTGTTCGAGGAAAAATGTGATGGTAACATTACAAAAATGGGTTCTAATAAGGAATGTGTTCACCCCTAGCTGCAATACATTGGCGGCAGATGTATACATTCCCAGCTCAAACCATTATTTCACCACCTATGTAACTGTGTCCTTTCACAATGTGGGATTGTTTGTATCTGGTGCGTTGTTCCCTCCAGATCAGCTGACGACCTGAATTGCTCTTCCATGTGAAGTTGGACTCTTCGGTAACAGAACAGAAGCCCATTGCTGAGTGGTCCAGGAGACGTATTCTCCTGCCCAACATAAACGGGCAAGGGGGCACAAATAACTGGTCGTCTAACATACAGGCCTGTATTGTGCACGCGTCTGCGCACTGCAGTAGCTGAGATTCTTGTTCCTGTGACCACTAAATGACCTGCCATGAGCTCAAGCACAGTAATCCCTCTCTTCCTACGGTCCAAAAGAGCTAAATAACGATCTTCCGCAGGTGTTGTAACTCTTGGTCTGCTTGGAACATGTCTTCTAGACACAGAATCCTCGGATTCAAACTGATTCCTAATAGATTCCTAGTCGCTAGACTACACTGCGAGAGACACTGAAACATCTAGAAGCATGAGCTTGTGACATCCCCATTTCTATCCATCCGATCGCCCGCTACCTCAACAAATATGGAAAACGACTTCTCCTGGACATTGATAGACTCTTCTGGATGTCAACGAAATTGTTAATAACAATTAAATATCAACACTCGTGAACAAAACTTACGATTTTTGCATATTTTCACCAACTCTTACATAAGTGTTTATTTCAATAAAATAAAAGTGCTATCTTTGTTTTTGAATATATTTTCTTAAACTTTGTTATTTTTATGCATATAAATTGTTAATTTAAACGTTACTGGCATTTTTGTAATGATGAGCTTTAAAAAATATGCTCTTCCTTAACTTTTGGAGGGCAGTGTATTTTAAGAAATGATATGCCTCAATTTTTATAATTACTTTTTCAAAATGAAGGTCTATTTTATATATATATATAAAACCTCCAAAAAGTGCAGTTAAATATGTAATATCAGTACTAAATAAAAAAAATTACTACAAAGTTTATTTTTAATTGATGCTAATGTATTACAAAACAGATTATTCTCCCCACCCCCAATTTTGTGTTTTGCAATCTCTGGGTGGAATATGAAAGACTGGTTAAAGAATCATTTTTAATGCAAATCGTTAGCTCATTAAGTAATTAAATAGCAAACCAAAGAGGAAAAAATTGTTTCTAGGTTACTACAAAATAATAAAATTACATTTAGTTAGATAAAAAAAAGGATAAAGAAATATTTGGGCACAATTAACTTATATGAACAGTAATTAAAAATAGGAAATGAAATAACTGTTTGATTTTCAAAACTTAACGAATCGCAATTATTTTGTTCTGTTACAAAATCTGAAACAAACACTTTTATCTGATTTTCACTTGATTTCCCTTTTAATAGTAATTCACATGTGCACAAATAACATTTTAAAGGCAATGATTTGTTAAAGACAACTTACTTTATACACTTGCTTCATACGTGAAGGTAAAATAGAAACATGAAATGCAGTACCCCCATACATTGGAAGCAATGGGAGTTCTACTGCTTTAATTTCAACAAGTTTTTGCTTTACAATATTTGCTTCTTTAAAAAATATATCATATAATGTCTCTATGCATCTTTGTAAATCTCGCTTTATAACCTGAAATAATTGTACTTATTATAATTGTTGAAATAAATAAATATTAAATATTGCAATTTTTTCAGTATCAAGGTATTTCATAAAAATTTCATCAGATATACAAAGCATAATTAATTACGAGACATCGTATATCGGAAGACAAATAAACATGTACTTTAGTATAAAATACAGAACTAAAAGATAAATAGCAAACCAAAATATTTATTTAATAATTACCTCTTTTTCAAAATAATTTTTGAACAATTCCAAAATCTGAATGCCTTCTTCAATAGTATTCAAATTTTCAAAAGCATTCAACATCAGTTTTGAAACTGCAACTTCAAGATTATAAACTTCTATTTTAAACCTTTAGAAAAAAATTATAAATTAACAATTATTAATAAACGAGAAAAATTACGGATTTGGCTTCTGTAAGAGGGAAAAAGTACTTTGACACTTTCAATATTTACAAGAACAATACTTAAATAAATTGGCTGATTAATATCATATAATTATTAATCAGACCAAATTCATCTTAAGTAAGCTTTGAAACTTTAAATCATTTTAAATAAACAATAATCAAGAATGTATAAGGAAGTTTGAAAGATCTGTACATTAAACTTCCCTGGAGGCTGGAACATATATATGGCCTACGCATTTGCTAATCTCAGAAATATTTACTTCACTATGGAGATTTAAAATTTGCTATTAATATGGTGCAGAAAATGGCAGACCATTTTGATTTGTTTTCCTGTTTCTTGTTCATTGAGTAATTGATAATATGGCATTAATACATAAAACATTAGTCTCTATAATCCATCTGAAAGTGTTAAGCAATTAATATATAAAACATTTATAATGATCATATAAATGAAATTTAACTTAATTCATGTATAAATTCTCTGAAATTTTGCATTGTGACAAATATAAAAAACTGAATCAAATTACCTTAATCATTAAATTATAGACCATAAGCACATAGGATATTCATGAAAAATAGCTATAAGCTTTCGTTTTGGCCCTAAACACTAAAAATTAGGCCTGGTTCGATCCCAGGTAAACAGAGTGGCTACATAGTTGGTTTTCATGTTTTTCCTCATCTGTAACATGAACACAAGACGATTCCCTTTGAAAGTCTTAAGCAAGTCTCTACTCAACTCTCTCTCTCCAAGGTAACACTGGTATATTTTGCCATACACAAGTAACCTAACCTTATTTCCTCAGCTATTGATTCTATGTAAGTATTTCTGTTCACAGAGTTTCTCTAAATAAAATACAGAATTTTATATGAACAGTTTCTACACTTGGCATGAGAAACAGTTCTAAAAATGCAGAATTTCCCTTTTTATATAGTCCTTATATAATACAATAAAAAAGAAGACAAAATTTTCTTACATTCTACAAGGTTAAAAATACAGTAAAGCTTTAATAAACTATGCTTTGGTAATTTTGATGTAAATTACTTGAATAAATGATATCATATAATTCATAAAAATATTAAAAATCTATTTACTGGCTTAGACCATTTTTCAGTACATATCTTCAAATAAAAATAAATATTCATCAAAAATTTTCCTTAAACTTTATGGATCAACTGCTAAAGAAAAGTCACTCACTTGATGATTAAAATGATTTCACACTAGATAAAACAGCAGTAAATCATATCAAACGTTACTTTTTTATATTCAAAACAATTCTATTCATAAAGCTGGAACTTATTGCAAAATTCTCCACCTTATTTAAAGAAATTCTGCAGCTGGAAGTGCATGCTTAGGATTAACAATTATGCATATTTTTATAAATTGAGCCCATTTCCTCGGTAAGTATTGACTTGTCTTTCACATTTTCCCAACACAATGCATAATACATTATATTAGAAATATCTTTTATTAATTAAATTAATGAACATTTCTAATGCTACAGATCAGTAGTCTCAAACAGGTAGCCGGTAAGGTTGCATGCAGATTTCAAGATTTTAGTTATCTGAAGTCTGGATTCATATTATTTTCCTTCCATTAAAAGACGAACTTGAATAACGCACCAGAGCAAATTAATTTACAATGCGCTATAAATCTTACTCAAAGATTTGAAGATACAGATTTCATTAACTTTTATTCATACTATCCAAAAAAAATAAATGAGCCCAGTTACAAATTTTTACACTAAGAATAATCACTTTATTTTAAAATACATTTATACGTAAACAGCCCTTTTTTCACAGTTGAAAATTAATGAGAAAAGAACCCGTTTGATCAATTAGTACCTATAATCCATGACGACGGTAATTTCTATAAACATTATAAGGCTATAAACATTATCAGAAACAAAGTGTTATCGAGTGTGAAGCTAAAGTAAGTCTATAATTATTTCTATACAAACATACGTATTTTTATTTATGCATCAAAGAAAAATTTAGTAAATAAGGATAAAGAGACTAAATTGTTATTGTTTGTTTTTAAGTTTTGTCCCAGTTGCAAAATTTTAAGTTTTCAGAATTTGTTAATTTTTAATTTAAATTAAAGTAAATTATTGAATGATAAATTAAACATTTTAAAGTTATTTGAAAGAAATGTCAATGTAATCTGTTTAGCTGTCAATATATTTGAACAGGAAATTTGATATGGTAAGTATAAATAATAAAAATAACTTACAGGTTTCAATTTTTTTCCTTTTCATATTATTATTTTTTATGTATGTTTTGATTAACATTTGGTAAGGAAAATTTAAAATGTATTTAAAATAATTTTTCTTGTGTGTATGTGTGACCCCCTTCCCCCAAAAAAAAAGATCTGGCCAGTCAGCCCACATGTAATATGAATTTGAGACCATTGCTATACATTATACTGTTTTTTGTTAGTATACAGTATTTTTTAGGAATTAGAAGCATCTTTCAGTAAGTGCACTGTACAGTGTTTGTAACGAGTGTTTATTACTAAGTTTGTTAATCTATTTTCTCTGTCCGTCCTGTATGTCTTCATGGTGTAACTGCAGGAACGCTCGACACATATTGGGAGGTCCGAAGTTCAAATCCTGAAAAAGTCATCGTATATTTCTAAGTTTCTTAACACCAAAAAAATTCTAACAACTCTACAAGTGGCTAAATGGTGGTGGACTATAATTCGCCACCACAAGAATATGCCGACTGAGCCCCCTCATCCCTAGTCGCCCTTTAAAAAGGGGAGTATATAAGGTAGTTTCTTCCTTCTTTTCTTCATGTTTTCAAGGTATAATTGGATGCATGCTCGAAGCTTATTCAGAAGGTTCGGAGTTCGAATCCCACGGAGGGCATTGCAGATTTCTTCAGTTTCCTGAGACTGAAAAATCCTAATGAAACTACAAATCTATTATGATAAATGTGTCATTATAATTAAAAAGGGAAAGACTATAAACCGTGTGGAATGGCAGCATATCTGAAAACACGAAATCTTCAAAGTTATACAGATGATCCAAATTCCCAATAATTTTATTGCATAATAATAAACAATAAGAATGGAGAGATAAGCTTACAGACAAAAATATGCCAGTTTTAAAACTCAGCAAAAAGCAATTATAGATTCATCTTCATTTCAAAAAATAGGTACTATACTTGAGAAAGGGATCTGATATGTGTTTGTCTTTAGATGAAGTATCTTGCCAGTTCATTTAAATGGCACGAAAAAGGAAAAAGAAAAGGCTACGTTTCTCAATACACATTTTAATATGAGTTTCTCTTCATAAGCAGTAATATTTTACCCAAATTTCAAATAAAAATGCTGGCTACAGCTCAATAGATGATGTGGAATTCTTTAAATGGAAACAAAGTATACTACGTATCTTTATTACTCAACACTGAAAACTGCAACTTTGAGGAAGCAAGGTCACAGAAATTCAAAATTAATAAGATGAATACACATATCATATGCAAATATTCATTGCAAATGATAAAAAATTATAAACAAAATAGTTAAATCACCTAGATTTATTCAACATGGAATATAATTACGAAGCACAGAAATACGTGAACTTATATACTCTGCCATACTATGAATGAGGTCTTTAATTATTTATTCCCTGAGGAATGCTTTGTCACATTGTGAGTTTAAAAGATTAAATACTGGTAGCTGGTTCTTTTGCAGTGGTTAAGTAACTCAGATCTACACAATACGAGACAAATCCAGAGATGCAACATGGTAAGGTATCCTGTTCAGGTTATGCAAGCTATTCAGAGGAACATGAACAATATGCAGCCTAGCATAGTTCAAACTAAAAAACAGCTTCTGGGATATTTTGTAGGAATAACGACGACACCACTGCCCGCAAGACTAAATCAATATAATGTTGAACTGCCAGTGTACCAGAAAAGAAGACTTACAGAGTTCCATCTACTCAAGATTATATGGTTCTACTCCATTATTCCAGGAGAAAGGATAATTTGATGTTCTCTTTTGAAGACATTCTCTGACAACAAATGGCTTTAGCCACATGACCTCAAACCAGTCTCTGACCATTACTGTTTTGGATTGCAGCCTCTGTTAAACCGTTAAAGCATTATTCTCCACCAAAGGCTTGTGGAATGGTAGCTTGGAGTCAATAGAACAAGTGTCACTGGTATTCTATCTGGCTTGTAGCTAATACCATGTAAGTATCCTCTGGTAGCTCGAATAAACACTGTTGCACTTTCTAAGCTTAGCATATGAGAGGCACAAGCAGAAGCTAGGCCAGCACCCCTGTGATTGAGGTATTCCTGAATCGAGCTAATCAAGCCGGCACTGCAATTTTCAGGAAGAACACTCCGGAGGCAGTCCGGGAATCTCCCACACCTTTCCCTCAACTAACAATCTCTTGAAAGGATTTTTGGCTCGCCATGTATTTTGAGTGCCTATACAGCTACTATACATTTACAAACATCAGTCCTTCTCCGGGATTCGCACCTTGGCCCAAAGGTACGGCTGTGCAGAGCATAGTATATGACATCCAAATTCATTTACAGAAAGTGTAAGGATCATTATATGTCATTCTTCTAATCTGACGATCCATCAGCATTCATCCTCCTATCGCCACTGGTTGCCATTGCTTGAATTTACGATTATTCTGCAACCACTGAAGTACACAACACTGAAGGGTGCTAATATTTTGGCCTAAATGCATAACATTCTTCCAGACACGCAAACTAAAATCCCTGCGTTGAAGGATTTTATACCCCTGAATTTAGGTAGGTGCTGATAAGTAGCATGTATCATCCATAAGACTTAATCCAATTTCTGGAGTATCATGATGCAGAAAAAAACTGCATTTGATCAGGCATTTATAATATTTAAGACTTCCTTTGTATCACTGATTGGAAAAGTTGGGAGCTGAAAAAGCATTTACATTCTTTAACTAACCTACGATCAACATATATGGCTTAATGAAAAATTATTTATTGAATTAAAATTTACACTCTGAATAAAACTTCAAATTTTTCTTCAGTATTAGTTAATAAATTAAGATATGAGTTTTATTTTGTTTAAATGGTCATTTTTCTTTATAAATAAACCTTAAAATTAATTTTAGAAAAAAAATAATGTGCTAAAAATTTATATTTGATAAATTAAATAATTTTGACAAGAAACTTACTTTTTAAAATAATCGTACCAAACAGCTATTTTGATATCCAAAACTGTTTCTTTGCTTTTAGCAAGTTCTTGTACTAATTTTTTAAAATAAGCTTCAGTTGCTTGAAGTTGCTCAGCTACCTCAAAACATTTATGATTATGTCTGAAATTATCATTTTCTCTATTATACTGAAATTCTTCTTTGAAGTTACATACCTGTTAAATTAATATAAAATTTATATTAATATAAAAATCCGAGCTTCAAATCAACCATTTTACTTAAATAACTATAATATCTTAAACTAAGTTAAATCATTTTCTTTACATATGCAAATGAAAAGGTATACTAAAATATTAAGATGATCTTTCATTATTTTGGAAGCTTTGATAGTCTACAGTATAAGTTGATTCAGAATGCAAAAATTATGTTAGAGTTTACATAAAATGCTATAAAAAAGTATAAATCTCTGCAGTGTCATGGTGATTCTAAGGAGAATAAGAGATATAGCAACGAAATAACATAATTGATTATGATGAAACATTCTTGAAGTAAAGAAAGTATTAAATAAGAAATTTTATTACTCATATTCTTCATAAGATTTGTTTTATTAATGTCAATTATTAAGCTCTCTCTCTCTTTCTCTCTCTCTCTATATATATTTTTCAATAAATTATCCTATCTGAGTAAAAATGTTTAGGTCCAAAAACTGTGCCTGTAAACTAGAACGGAAATTTTTTTAAGCCAGAGATGTAAACCAGACTTTGTTATGAAAGCGAGAAAAAATGTAAGAAGTGGCATAAAGAATTAAATTAAAGAATGATAAAAAAATACAGATAATACTAATAAACTATTAATCACTATGTTTCAAAGAAAGTTTTTAAAGGGGCAGTATTTAAAACATTAAAGAAGGACGATTAATGTGTGCCAAACATGTTTCTTTCCTTTCGACATTAATAGGACTCAAACTATTGTAAATTAATTTTCTTGTTTGCAGAATTATTTTTAACAGTCTTATAATGCCAAAGAACTATCGTTAAATGTCACTCCTCTATGAATTACAAACACAGAAAATAATAATAAATTTAAAACAACTTAAATTAAATTGTAAAAATGCAAAATTACAAAAACCATAGAAAGCATACTGAAAGAAAAGCTAGAAAAGCTACACACTGTCTAGTATACCGAAAGAAAAGCTAGAAAAACTGCACACTACTTTCGAAAACGTTATTCATATGAATTATGAAACTTCTAAGTAGTCAAACTTACAATTAAAAAAGAGCTGACTCGTCAACGTGAAGGTCTAAACTTTTATCTCTTTAAATCTGTTACAAGTTAAAAAGAAATTTAAAATGAAATCTTTAACATTCTATAAGCAGGCAGTTTCAAAACTAAGTACATTTAAAATAAAAAGAACAAGATAATTATAGAAATGCAAAAAAAAAAAAAAAAAAAACATACATAGTCCATAATTCAAGCACAAAAAAGAATAAAAAAGAAAATACATAAGTCTAATTTTTAATGATTCAAAGTGTAACCACTGGCCACTGAGAAAAATTTGAAGACAACTAAAAAAACTATTTATTTCAAAGAAATATAATTAAAAGCCGAAACAACTAAAATCTGCTGTGAAATTATAATTATTACAGAGGATGTGAATTTAAATAAAGTAACACCTTAAACAATAAAAAGCAACAAATACAGATATTTAATACAATGGAACAGAATATTTATACAAAGAGATTTTAATTGAATAAAACAGAAAAGGGATTCATAATAAGCCTAAGAAATTGATGCTCAAAAGGTATTTCTTAATATATCATTCATCATTCAAGTCCAAGACTTGCAAAAGTCTCTGTCTCTCATTTGATACAACTCTTTAATTATATGGTTTACCCCAATTTTTCCATAACAAGCCTATTCCATACGTTGTATAGCACTGTAGAGCTTAAATTGTGCCGGAGCCCTAAATAAGAAAACTCCGGTACTTCTTTTATATAACTGAACAACAAATTCAGCAGAAGTTTGATCTCGAAAATTTTATTTTCAATAATAAAATATATTAAAAACCGATTGTAACTTCTGAATGCATGCCTCCCTTTCCTTGGAAAATAAACCCTTAGACGGAGGTCGAGACTTATAAGGAAAGAAAAGCCTCCAGCCTCATGTTAAAGGCTCATTTTCCTGAAAGCGCAATGAATTTATGACAGCGGGTACATTTTTCGTTCCAACGTGAATGTCTTCTTGCGGAAAAGAGACGTGCAAACTTTTCGGGAAGATGTAACCAAAGACGAGGATGAAAACTGTCATTTGTTGCTTTTTAATCAGCTAACCCTGAGATTTGGGGAAAATTTGTTCCCTTATCACATTCTGCTTGATAGTTAGAATCAAATTGACAGAAGATCATTGTCAGATGGAATGTTTGACTCTTCTCAAAATGCTCGACACTTGTCTTTTTGTTTTTGTATTTGCACATCATCCGTTAAAATGTCCTCTATATTCTGTTGCTGTTTATGGCATTCTCTCTAGTCTCATTAGGGACACTTTAAGCATTTTAACGTTTTTCATTGATGTGCTGAAAAAAGGAATGGTCTTTATTCCTGTCATCCCTTGAAGTAGTACATTACAATATATATATAGATATATATTATTATTATTATTATTATTAAAAAACCAACAAGTTCCCCATGTACCCCATAGTATCACATGGGGCTTACAGAAGTAAGTAAGAAAACACATTACAAACTAAACAGAAGAGAAAATTGAAATAAAATTAAGGATGATTACACAGTTTTACAATGAATTGACAAAAAGTGTTAAAAGCACTTTCTCTCGGAAATAAATTGGTAAAACTCTGGAGGCCAGTTAATATTAAATTTTTCAGTCCCAGTTTCAAGACTTTTCTTTCGTTCTCATATTTAGGACATAGAAGAAGCACATGTTCTACATTCTCCTCGCCGCCGAGGACACAGTCACAGACAGACTCAGGACTCAACTTAAATCTGTTCAAATAACTTTTAAAATTCCCATGTCCAGTAAGAAACGGGGTTAATTTTATAATTTGTGAAAAATGATGACACGACAATCTCATTTTAATAGAAGGGGAAAATCTTCTAGTTAAACTCCCTTTATTTGAATTAATGAATTCGTGATTTCCACGACTCCACAATGCTTCATACATGACCTTCTTATAGAAGGAATTAGGGATATTGACAAAAGTGTCAATTTCCCGCTTAGTCGCAGTCTTTAGCAAGGAAATCGGCTCGTTCGTTCCCAACAACCTGTATGACGACGAATAAATGAAAATGAAACCGAAATATTTTTATCCTTTAGATTTTTCAGTTCTTTTTGAATCTCGATAACGAATTCATTAGAAGAAAAATACATTTTAAGATCTCCAAGGATGAAAGGGAATCAGTACAAATGAGATAGTCTGAAACAGCACTGTTTTGTTTAGAAACCCATTTGACGGCGAAGTTTAAGCACAAAAGTTTCAGCTATGAAACGGTACATTCATCTCTGATTCTAAATTGAAAGTGCTCAAATTCAAGACCATTTTTGAAGACAACAAATGCGAGACCAACCTTGCCATCAATTTTGCTGCCATCAGTATAGCAAGTTACAGGCGAATCATCTACGATTTTATTGCTAAACTGAATAAAATTAACAGCATTTCTTTCTGAAGGATGAGGGAGATCAGATAGAGGTAATATACAATCATACTGAGAGACAGTAGAAGCAGAATAGTACATTATATTCAGAGCTTAAATTCAAAAGGAGAGCGGTTGAGCTATTTCTCAGTTTTTGTGTGAAATTTAAATTCCAGCCCCAACGCCAAATAAGTCAAGGTCCAGTACTTTATTTGATTGTTTAACTACTTATTTAATAACTTATTAAATTTTTATTTATCTCTTAGCATTTTATTAAATTTTAATTTTAATTATTTAATTATTCTAATTAATTATTTAATTGTTTTCTTAATTAGTTGCTTACTTTTAATTATTAGTTATATTATTAGTCATTTTATTTATTTACTATTTATTCTTGTTCCTGTTTCCTGACAGTCTTCCGGCACTTCTAGTTTTAAGAAATAAAGCCCTGATCCAGATATTTGAAATACCACGCAAAAAACTGTGTGGAAGACTGTGCATCAAAGGTTGCATTTCAAACCTTACCATGCGTAGCTCCTGCAATAATTAAAACCGGAGGATTACGCCCGTCGACTCAATTTTTGAGTCAACATGCAGGAAGTATTAGAGGACGAAAATTTCACCACCAAAGATGATATTCAGCGATGAAGCAACGTTCCACTTATCCGGTGAAATAGTGAAAAAAAACTTGGTAAGTTTGTGGCGCTTTTCATATATTTTTCATGTGCGTACGCATAATACTTTTGAAAATATAGCCTTTTCAAAATGAATGAAATATTTATGCTAGCCCTGTATAGTGAAATCTCGGTTTAATTCAGTCTCACAGGTAGTTGACCAACTGAAATGTCCACAAACCAAAATAAATTTACCCATAAGAATTAATATAAAATGGATTAATTTGTTTCAGGACAACACATGACTGCTCGTTTAAAACTTTGAAATAATACCTTTGCTAAAAATGTTAATTAGTTAGGAAGTTAGAATTGGAAGATTGATTTTATACTTAAATGTAAAGAAAAATAAGAATTTAGATTGTTTAATGAAAAAGCATGCTAAGTATAAGCGAAAACGTTGCAGCAATTGTAATAAATTATTAAGTAAATTCTAGCTTGGCGACAACTTAACAATTTATACAATTACTAGTGCCCAAGTTCATAATCCAAAACTGATGGAAAAGCAGATAAAATAGAAGAACACTTAATTTTACTATTATGTACACAGAGACTATACAAGAATATGCATAACAGTAAAGGTATGCATAACCAGAATATATCGTATGTAGAAGATGGCATATGTAGAGAGAGAATGACGATGAAGATGCTATTGTTTTGATGCAAAATTTCCTTCCCCAGAACATCATATAACTCTTTTTAGGGGGCATCTTTTATTTATCTTTAAGTGCCACTTTGCTTTAGATTCACTGGACCTCTGTTTCATTCAAAATTTGTCCAATGTGAATTTTGTGTTGTCTATAGTAAGCCAAGGCATTATCATTGAAATGTCTATGCTGTAGCTTGCTACTGCTTTATCAGTCATATTGTTACCTGAAAAAGTTACTTTTTATCCAA